CAATAGTTTCTGGGGTATTGTTACAGTTTCTTACCCACATCCCCAAGACTCTGCTGGGTTTTTTCTCTGCCTTTAGCTTAGGTAGGAGTTATGCATACTCTCACTATTGCTGTGAGTTCATAACAATTATTGAACAAGCTTCCTGGAAAATTCTATTTCCTTGTCATCATCCACCACCTCCGAACTTAGAATCTTTCTGCTCCCTTTTCTGCAATGATCACTAAGCCTTTGGAGACAGAAGTTTCATACAGGTGTCCTATTCAGTAATAAGCACTCTGAAGCACATTGCGCTGTGCAGGTTGGTCAGTTGTGTTTTTCTGTGTAATTCATCATCTGCTTCATAAAAAAGCTTAATGAGAGATGCATTAATATAAGGATATAACAAGAGGTCTTTAGGAGTAAGATTAAGAATATATCAAGTTATCAGAAATCTAGTATTATACTTTCCCCTATATCCTGTGAACTGTCTAGCCTCAAATTTTCAAGCCTAAAATCAGTGTCAGATATGGGCTCTGTCCTATGAAGAGGAACATAAATCCAATTAGAATGTGATTGGTTACTCCCATAAATATACCGCTATTGCTCCAGGGGGAGTATCTTGCAAGGCAAATTGCTGTAGTTCCCAGGAATCCCATGTCGTTAAGATTGATGATAGATTTTCAATTCAGGTAGCATACACAGTACCTTACAGCACTGCAGAATTTTTTTTTTTATCCTGTAATTCATGTATGAAGTGTCTTCAGTAATAGGATCTTACCGTGAAGTTACGGTGGGTAATCAAGAGCAAGAGGATTGTTTGAGGGTCTAATGGACCCCTGGTCAACAGCTTCAAGACAGAGAAGAAGGCGTGGATGTCAGCTCTTTCCATTCCTTTTAAATATAGTATTTAAAATATATCAAGATCAATAAGACCAACAAGGGTAAGTGGGTATAAATTTGAATGTATGAAATATCAGTATGAAGAATTCAAGGGAATTGGTATCCTTATTTACAGATGATATGATTGTAACACAAAAGACCCTAAAGACTCCACTTGAAAACTCCTAGCACAGATAAGAATACACAGAAATTCAGCATGATATAAATTTAACACTCTCAAATCAGTATCCATTCTGTATACCCTCAACAACCAATACCGTTTATGATAGCCTCAAAAACAATAAGATATTTTGGAATAAATCAAACAAAGAAAGTATATAAAACTTTATGACAATGGAGAGAGAAATTGAAGAAGATACCAGAAGATAGAAAGACCTCTTATGTTATGGAGTAGCTTTAACAAAAGAAATCCTCACATTCAATGAAATGAGAAACTCATTAAAATTCCAACAAAATTAGTCACAGAAGTTGAAAAACCTCTCTCAAATGTTATATGGAAACACACTGAAATGAGAGGAGAGAGAGAGAGAGAGAGAGAGAGAGAGAGAGA